CTGCAGGAGGCCTTCTTGTCCCATTGTAATTGACTTGAGTACAGACAGAAAGCTCTGGGACAAGACCTAGGTGTTTATCACTGGCAGCCAGCATAGTTCCAGACACCCAGCCACCCCTATGTGTATATTTACTGAACGGATGATAAAATGAGACTGGTGGATTTTGAATGGCTTTTTTTTTTTTTAAGATTTTATTTATTTGACAGACAGAGATCACAAGTGGGCAGAGAGGCAGGCAGAGAGAGGGGGAAGCAGCCACCCCGCTGAGCAGAGAGCCCAACGCTGCGAACCCTGGGATCACGACCTGAGCCCAACCAAGGCAGAGGCCTTAACCCCCTGAGCCACCCAGGCGCCCCAAGATTTTGAATGGCTTTAACTTGCGCCTCTGTCTCCTCTTGTGTAAGTGAGCTTGCAGGCAGAGCTGCCATGAAGCTGCAGGAGATGAATGCTGGGACCAGGCCCACGCACAGGAGGAAATCAGAAAGATGACCTGTAGGGAGGGGAGACAAGCAAAGGAAATGAGCCACTGCCCTTAGAGCCCTTAGCCAGATCAATACGTTTAAGATGTTCTTCTTATTAATCATTATGATCATTACTGTTGTTTTATTATTACAAGAACGCACATTTCCTGAGTCTGAGGGGCCACACAGGATAGTTTGAAATGTTCCTCTAAGTGAAAATGGGAGAACTTTAACTCCACGAGTCCCTGGAGGCCGGGGGCCGGGATGTCTTGGCAGGAGGCAGGAACTGCGGCAGTCAGGGTGACCTGCTGTGGGATGTGGGGCTCGGGTCCTCCTCTGTATATGTGCTGCCAAAGCGAGCGCTCCGGTCCTCCTCTGAATCCACGTCCCCTCAGTGCCTGGCGGGGAGCCAGAGTCCTGGAGCCTCTTTGCTGTAAATGCCACTCGGCAGAAGCCACCATCGCAACGGTCCTTGTTCAGCCTGAAGCGGGAGGTACCCTCCCCCTCATCCATCCCCACCGACCCTGCTGGGAGTGAGAAGCCAGCCAGAAGTCCCCGCCCCCATCCCCCCCCCCCCCAATTTCTGAAAAGGGCGTGGTTACTAGCCGGGCTTCTGCAGCGTTCATAGCTGGGCAGCGCCCTCTAGGGACAGGAGGTGGGAAGGACATGCAGGCAATGCTGGGGACCCAGCAAGCAAGCTCTGGGGTGGGGTGTCTGCCTGAAAGAGGGCCGTCTCTTGGCCTCTGGAGCGGAGGTGGGAGGTTGGGGGAGGGTTGAGCAGGGAGCTCTCAGCATGCGCCAAGCCGTGTTTGCTTCCTCTGGAGTAGCATCTGGCCAGCCCCAAGCCTCCGTCTGGGCTCTGTCCCTCTCTGGCTGGGTGATCCTGGCCAGTCTCAAAGATTCTCTCTGAGCTTCATCTGTAAGAGATAGTTACATGGGAGGCTCTCCTTCGCAGTAAGGTGGCCTGATCCTCCAGAGAACGTGGGAGAGGCTGGGTGAGAAAGGTTTAGGAGCTGGAGAGAATGTCTGAGATCCAGTCTATAGGCCCTCGAGAAACTAATCTCCTAATTTGAAAACTTAAAAAAAAAAAAAAAAGGGACAACCTTGTCCACAGCCCTCATCTGGGAACAGAGGACCAGGCCCCTGAGGGAAAGAACATGGCTTGGGGATTGCAGGAGGGGAAGTTTCCTCTCCCATCTTGATTTCTTAGAATGATGGATGTTAGAACCTCCAGCAACCTAGAATTCAAATCTCACCAGAAAACATACTAGAGAAGAGGTCTATATTTGGAACCCTATAGAATCGGATTGCAGAAGCTGGCGGTCAGAAGCAGAAAGGCAGATGCCTTGGATTTAGGCCTGAGTGTAAGGACCTATTTAGAAACTGTCCCTGCCTCCCTTCCCCCAGGGGATTTACTTGGAGACAAGTCCCGGAAACCAGCCTCAGGTAACAAAGCTCAAATACAGGGGTGGGTCAGGCCAGGTGGAGACACCTGATCAGTGGGGGGTTGCATACTGTCTCCCTAGCTACCAAGGAGTAGCCCCCCCCCCGCCCCACCCTTTGGGAGCCTTTTTGGCGCCAATCCTAATCAAGGTGTAATAGGCTGGTTCAAATGTCTACTAGGGTAAATTGTAATTCAATTGGTTACCTAGCATCACTGTGGAGCTTCCTGTGTGTGTTAAAATCTCATTGGCCACCTCTGCGTGGCCAGTCCGGACCGCATGGCCTTTGCCCTTAAATGCTAGTCTGAAACAGAGAAGGGCCGCCCTCTCTTGTAAGAGGTGCATCCCCGAACGTTTGGTCAGATTCTTTTTTTTTTTTTTTTAAGACTTTGTTTATTTGACAGACAGAGATCACAAGTAGGCAGAGAGGCAAACAGAGAGAGAGAGAGAGAGAGAGGGAAGCAGGCTCCCTGCTGAGCAGAGAGCCCGACTAGGGGCTCCATCCCAGGACCCTGAGATCATGACCTGAGCCTAAGGCAGAGGCTTTAACCCACTGAGCCACCCAGGCGCCCCTATTTGGTTAGATTCTTGATACTTGGTGCGAAATAAAGCTTTGCTTGACCTTCGCTTTATATCAGTCTCGCTCCTTTAATCACGGACCCATTATTGGGGCATAACACTGAGCACTGCCACGGCAAGGCCCCCAAGAGAGCCATCGTCACTACTGAGCTGGTCCTGGAATGAGTAGTTAGCACTCCCTGTCTGCCCCCCAAACTTGTTCACAATTAGTAGGCTTGGGGTAGGACGCTGAAATCTGAATTTTTGACAAGTGCCCCAGGGATGCTGTTGGACCGCCCAGATTTGGGCAATGGATATAATCTAGTCATGTCCTCCATCAAACTGGGGGTGGTGAGGGAGGCCCAAGGTCAAGAAATAAAAAGGGACTTGGCCTAGAGCTAGCAGATAGCTGGTGCCAGGCTGGGACTCAAACCCGGGCCCCCAGAGCTGAGGCCACTCACACCAGCAGTGAGATCATTATTCAGATGGCTCCTTGGGATGGTCACACCTCCTGGGTGTCCCTGGCCCCTTGGACGTGTCATCCAGGGCACAGATGGTTTCCTGGGGCCACATCTGTGATTCATGGGGCTGAGAGGCCTTGGGTGGGGAGCACAGCACTGCTGTCATCAGCCTGTGGCTAAGTCCCCTTCTTGAGAGGACCCTGGCTGTGGGGGCTGAGGGTCCCTCCTCTTCTTTCAGTGCCCCTTCATCCCCAGCCCTCCCTTCATCCTCACAGCCCTGAGCATTCCAGGGAAAACCGCCCCACATGGTTGAGATTCACTTATTCCAAACTCATCAGCATCATGGTTTTATAACACCCACCCCATGCCCAAGAAGCACTTGCAAATTTCTTTTTTTTTTCTCTTTATTAAAAAAAAAAAATGTAGGGGTCTTGAAACAACAACAATAGAGCATTTCAGAGGCACAAACTTTTGCAGGAGAAGCTGGTGGTCTGGCCAGGCGAGGAAAGGCAGCAGTTATGAGGGTGGGCCTGGCGGGTGTGTGTGTGTGGAGCGGTGGGGGGCGGGGCGGGCGGTGTGTGTGTGTGTCAAGGGATTATGCCAGAGAGAGGGAAGCCTGAGGGTAGGCACTTCTTGGGGGGTGGGGGGTGTGCTACCTCATCACCTTTAACCTCTCTTCCAGCCTGCGGGCCGGTCCCCCTTCCGTAGGCCACCCTGGGGGCCCCCCTGGGCCTCAGGCTCCCAATGCTTCTAGCTGCTGGGACCTTCTGACTTCAGGCCAGCCTTGGCATGACCATGCCAAGGCAAATTGGGAGCACCCCTTCCTGGGGACTCAGGGAGGCCAACAAGGAGGGGCTAGGTACTGTGATGCTGGAATGACAGGCAGTGAGAACAAACTGACTTCTGAGCTAAATCTTACTTGAGACTCCCCGATGTTCTTCTCCATGTTCTTCTCGCCTGGTGTGGTGGTGGTGGGGGGGGGTGTCCCAGTGAAATGCAAGCGCTCAGGGTTCCTTGGGGGCTTGGGGGATGGAGGAATCTTCCCTCGCTCCTGACCCTTCCCTTGCTCCTTCTTTCATCACCTCCCCAAAGGCCCCCAAAGTTTCCTGTGGGTGTGCTGCGCTGGGCAGCCAATAAGTAGAAAGCCTAGCACCTGGGTTTCCTGGGTGACCTTGGGCAAGTCCCTTCTTGGGCCTCAGTTTCCCCACAGGTACAAGGGGCAGGAAGCACCAGGGTGGGGAACAGAGCAGCTTGGATAATCTCAAAGTTCCTTTTGGCTTTGATGGCCTCTTCTGGGCGGGCCCGTGGTTCCCCCAGGGATGACAGTCCTATTGGAAGCAGTGCTTGGACCCCCAAAGGACAAGGGAATACAGTCAGTTTGGGAAGAAGGGGGCAGGGAACCATGAGGGAGGGCAGTCATGGAGCACCAAGGGCAAACTCTGTGGCCACAGGCAGGCTCAGGGCTGGCTGTCCAGCCGGAGGCCCCATCTGTGTCTACACAGGGAATGGGGAGCCCCCAGAGCCTCTTCCTGGAGGTTCCCACAGGAGCCGGTGACCAAGGGCCGTGGAGATGGCCTCCAGGGATTGGCCTGAGCAGGGGGCACTGGCAGCCCTGGGTTCTGGGGTCTCCTCTGGAGCAGAAGCGGGTCCCTCAGGACTCGCACAGCCTGCCTGGACGGCGGCCTGGGCCCCGCCCTTGGACACCCCTTCTCTGCGAACAGGGGTCCCAACAGGGTCAGGGAAAGGCCTAGAGAAAGACGTCTTCTTTCTTTAAGAAGTAGAGAGAGCAGGACACAGGGAAGAACAGGAAAGAAAACAGGAGACAAGGAAAAGAAAGGCAGACAGATAAAAGATTAAAGAGAAAGAAGGGAAAAGGACAGGTGGGAGGAGAAACGGAAGGAAGAGCAGAAATGAAGGAGAGCTGGAAAGGCAGGACGCGGGGAGGAGGGGGGAAGGGTGGGGAGAGAGAAGGATGAGGTCCCAGCGGCCGCAGCAGGAGGGGTTGGCGGTGTGGGTGTTGGAGGGCTGCAGGTTGAGGGAGGGTCGGGGTGCTGCGGGCGGCAAGCCCCCGGGACTCCTCAGGCCGGTGGGCGGGGCCTCACGTCCAGCGTGCGGTCCTGCCTCCTGTCCTTGCGCGGGCGCCGGTCTCTCCGCCCCTTCTTCTGGCTGGGGTTCCTCCCTGCACCAAGAGCACAGGGCATTGTGTCTGAGACCCGCGCGGCCCAGCCCGGGGAAGCCCTTCCATCCACTTGCTTTTGAACACTCGCGCGTTGAATGGCCCGAGGCTGCCGGCGGCGTGGGGCCCGTTTAGAGATCAGAGGGCTTACTTGGGCTCTACTAAGAGCTGGTCCCCTCTTGGGAAGTCGCATCTCTATGCCCGGACGGGAGCTCTCACGTTTGCCCTGACTCCTCTAAGTGTTCGCAAGTTGTGTTGAGCCCAAGTGTGACCACGTGGGGGAATTTCTTTTATTTCTCTTTTATATGACAGGGCATCAACTGATTTTTTTTTTCTAATGACCCATGTAAGGAGATCACATTTTCCACAAACTTTGGAGTCATAAAGAGGGCGTTCTGAAATCCTTGCTATTAAAAGGGTGGTGGTCATTCTGCAAGGGCAGAGAAGTCCTGATGAAGGCAGGCACGTATCTCTCCCGAAGTTGGGACTGATCCCGCCTGCCTTTGAAAGGATACCAGGGAGGGCAGGACTTAACCCACAGGAAGGTATGGGTAATCTTGGACTTTCGGGCCGCCCTATGGGTGCTATTTGGGCAGGCAATGTCCCCAGCCCCACAGCGTTCCCCGGGGGGGCCCTGCTTGCTGCAGCCCCGAATGCAGCCCAGTGCTCACCTGCTGGGCATGACCTCTGGATGGGACATTTCCTTGACTCAGAGAGCACCTGGCAGGTTGCTGCCTCCTCCCGTCCGGCCCGGCCGGCCTCCCGCACTCGGGTCTCCAGACCCCAGGCCGAGCCGCATGCCTTCCCGTTGTGCAAACAGGGGCCCCAGCTCCCCCAAGGGCCCAGCTCACATTCTTCTGTTGGGTGGAGACACAGACAGACAATTTGGGTCAGCAGGCAGGGAGTGTCCTTCAGATCCAAGGGCAAAGTCGGAGTGGTCCGGGTCCCTGAAGACAACAGCTCTCGCCAGGAGCAGAGGGGAGACACTTAACTATCTATTTATGAGGGCCTGGGATGGGCGCCATACTAAAGCACGCCCGGGCCAGAAGTGGGAGTGACAGTGGGCTTTAGAGGGGAGCTTCCTGGAGGAGGTTACTGAGGAGCTAGAGGGAGAGGAGGCGATCCAGTAGAGCAGAAGGAAGGATACTGGCAGGTGTATGCAGTCCGGGGGCCTGGCAAACGTGAGGGAGGGAGGGCAGCTGGTGGGGAGGCAGGGGGGAGTCTGGGAGGAGGACAGGTAGGCCAAGAGGCCAGAAGGTCTGCTGGGAGGCCCTCAGGGCCAGCACATCGCTTTGACCTTGATCGTGTGCCTCTGATGGGCTGGGGAAGGCAGAAGCTATTTGGTGCTATTGTGAGGAAAAATGAGGTCACAGGCCAAGAAAGTTCTTAGCAGGAAACAAAACACACACACACACACACACACACACACACACACACACACACAGTTTTTCGCATTTGATTCTATTAAGAGTTCCCAAGAGGTAGGCAAAAAACAAGGCGGCTGTTAATACCCCCATTTTGCAGAATAGGCCAGTGAGGCCTAGAGCAGGTAAGGGGCCTGCTAAGGAAACACAAAAGGGAATCTGCATCAGAACATGGCAAGTGTTTAAGACCTACTTGGGCCCAGAAACCAGGTCTCCAGACCTGAGAACAGTGGTCCTTCTGCTGATGTGTTCATTTGCCAAGTAGGGACGAGCCCCTATTCTATGCCTCGTGCTTTGCTAGGTGCAGAGCAGCAGCGGGCACAAGACAGATCCAGCTCCGACTCCCGGAGTTCACCACCGAGAAATGTCAGGCTGGGACGGCAGGGTGCTTGTGCCATAATGGGGGAAGCACAGGCAGCCGCCGGAGCCTGGAAGAGGCCTGGGTTCTGGGGGCTTGGGGGACCCGGAAGGCTTCCTGGAGGAGGAGAATCCTGACCTGAAGCTTGAAGTAGGGGTGGGGAGATTAGCCAGGCTTCAGGGAGGGGCAGAAGGGAGACATGAAAAGGATTTGAACCCAGGTTTATCTGATTCTAAAATCGGTGCTCTTCTTGTGAACTCTGGGGCCTCCCCTGGTAATAGCAACGAATCTGATGTTGGTTGTGATGGTGACCGTGATAATGGTGCTCATGATGGCTCTAATGTATAGAAGGGTCCCTTTGTGTGTGTCTGATGTCCCCTATTGGGCCTCCCAGCACCCTGGGACATTCTCCTGTGGTTCTTCCTGTTCTACTGACAGCCCTCACCAGCCCCTTAGGGAAGGAGGCGGGGCGAGGAGGCCCCCACTCACCCTGGCACTCCCGAGTGCTGGGCTCGGCGGTGGTGCCCAGCGGGCAGGAGGGCAGACACTTCCCCTTGTACAGGAGAAACCGCCTCTTGCACTGGATGCAGAAGTCCTGGCTGAAGCAGCTTTCACACGTGGCCCCGCATTCTGCAAGAAAGCCAGGGCCACCAGTGGTTAGGGTGGCCACGCAGAAGGGGGCCTTCTGCCTTTGAGCAGCCCAAGCTCTGTAGCCCTGGGATCAGGATTCGGTCTCCTCTGAAGCCCAGACCTGTGTGGGAACTGCATTCCAGAGTTCCTTTCCTTGTCTGCCCTGAGGCTCACTGGAGGCAGGTGCCACATCCAAGGTAACACGCTTACTTGGATTGAAAGGTCAAGATTCCCTTTCTCATTTGAGCCAAGGCTCAGAGAGGGCAAGCGACTCGTCTAGAGTCACATAGCAAGTCTGGGCTGTGATGGAGGACTTCTGCTGCATTTCCATCAAAGCTCAAACGTGGGCATGATCTATCCCAGGTCACAGTGAAAATCAGAGTTAGGAGTTAGGACCCCCTTTTCCCTTTGAGTTAGGCCCAGAGAAGGGGAGTAACATGCCCAAGGCCACACAGCAAGCTAGGGTAGATAGAGGTGAAGGTTTCCTGCTCTACTAGTGCCGAGAGCTGTTAGGGCTCTGTCTTGCTTAGGGCTTCTGAGCCAGCCTGAAACCAAGCCGGTATCTTGGAGTCTGGGCTCAGGCACACACTGCTTGCTTGCGGTCATGTTGGGGTGAGAGGTGGGGTGTGGGCCAGAGGTCTCAGGAACCCAGCACTAGCACAGGATGAGGGGGAAGCCACGTACTTTTGCACCTGTTGACCTCCTGGCCACGGACGCCGAAGTAGCCAGAGGGACAGTCATGCACACACTTGCCATATTGGCGGATGCCCTCCCGGCGGATGAACAGGAAGAGCCTCTGCTGGCAGGTGGAGCAGCCATTTTCCTCTGAGCAGATGACACAGCCTGTGCAGTTGCCCCCTGGACCAGTGCCCACTGCCAGCCAGACCAGGGAGGAAGGTGGGGGAAAGTGGGAGAGAAATAGTCAAACCATGTACGTGAGCAGCACGGACCATCTCATGGGGCATATTAACTGAACACATGGTCACCCGGACAAACCACTACATTTCCCAGACAACTAGATACAGTCATATGATCCCAATCTGGCCAACAGTGTATAAGCTAAAGCAATGTGTGCAACTTCTAAGAAGCTGCCTTAAAGGGCAGGAGCATGCCCTTTGTCATCCCCTCACCCTTCCTAGTGAGTGGAATGTGAACACGATGGCTGGAACACATGCAGCTACTTTGGATCATGAAGTGCTATCGTGGAATGATTAGAGATATAAGAAGAAAGAGCCCAGGTCCCCAAGGAAGGTAGAACCATGCTATACCAGCCCTGGGCTGCCCGTGTAGACTTACAGGAGAGAGAAATCACGGTTTCATTTAAACCACTGTTACGTGGAGTTTTCTAGAACTCACAGGCAAACTTAGCCTTCATGGGAATAGTGTGTGTTTATCAGTGTGTGGAGGGTGCGCATGCAGGTGGGGGTAGGGGACACCCTCGTCCTCCTGCTGTGTTTCTGAACAAGACTCCCTTCCTCCCTGTCACCGTCATCAAGCACTCCCAGCATCATCAAGTGTAGTGAGTTGAGGGAAGGAAAATTTGTTGCCCCAGAGTCAGCCAGGACCCAAAGCTGGGAAGGAGGCTGAGAATACTCTAGAAAGGGAGCCTTTCTAGCCAAGGCTCACAGGGGGTTTCTGCTTTCCTGATCATTACCTGATAAGCCTACCACTTAGAGAGATGGGATTTGTCAGCCTGGGGTGGGGGTGGGGGGTTGTGACTTTCCCTCTGTTCCCAACCCCCGAAATCAAGTGAGAAGAGGGGCAAGGTGCCCCTCCTAGAGACGGGTTGCCTGCAACAAGGGGTGGCCAGCTTCTTATGCCCCTGTTGGGCATTCAATTCTGTCACAGCCCTGCCAATCTGCTCCTTCCTGTGTCTCTCTGAGCAGAGTAAAGAGGCCAGGAGAGAGATGGGCAGAGCAGAGAGAAGAGGCAGCAGCCGAAGAAGCTATGCATCCTTCACAGCAAGCCTGGGGGGCTTCTCAGTGGCGAGGGCCCCTTAGAAGTAGCCGGGCTTCAGGGCTGAGGCTGCGGCCTCACCCAAGCAGGGTGGTTCCTGGCAAATGTCTCAGCGAGAGGCAGCAGGGAAAACCACTGGAGGTAGGAGGTGGGGAGAGTCCGTGAAGGACCGAGCAGCTTCTTAGAGGCAACTGGGGACATGTGAAACGGTCCCGCATTTATACCCCATCAAGGTCAGACTGTTTAATAAACCAGTTACATACTTTGACTCCCCCTGAGCCCACAGCCACCCAGCATAGGACCTTCTTGACTCTCCAGGTCTACCTGCCCCCCCACCAGCCCCCGTCTATTCGTGCCTCATCTGCCTTTTAGAGGAATTCCCCATTGTGTGAGGACCCCGAGAAGGGCAATTCCTGCCCCCACCCCCAGAACAGAAACCAAGGAAGTTCAGCCCTTCTTCAAGTTGACAGTGATGGGCATTGACCAATCAGATGCTCATTCCCATGACCCCGAGTCCTGGGAGTTGGACAAAAAGAGTGAGGGGCTATGTGGGGATAAGGGTCACTGTCCAGACCAGTCTGGGCCTTTTCTGCCTCCCCTCCCTCCCACTCTGGGATGGGTCCTGCCATTTCTCCAAGTCTGATCTCCAGCTGCCTGGATCCGGTGAGCCCCCCACAACCTTCTGATAACTCCCAATGCTGTGGCTTACACCTGAGAACCCTGACTGATCCAGAGGGCTTGCTAATGCCCCTGGGAAGAGAAACAGCCACAGAAGAGCGGAGTAGAGGTTTGTGTGTTTCCAAAGCTGTAGCCCCGCAGGGACCTGAGGGCAGAGAGAGAGAGTGTGCGCGATGTCATAAGAGGGATCTCCAGGGCCAGAGAGAGAACATCAGCTGAGAAGCAAACAGAGCCCAGACCTCCCACCCCATGGGAAACAGTTTAAATTCTGATAATACAGAGTGCTGGCAAGAATGAAAGGAAAACCCTCCCTTCTGACAGGAGAGTAAATAAGCCCTAGAGAAAAGTCCAGCAGCATCTAGTAAATTTGAGAATGTGCCTTTTCTGAGCACAGCAATTTGGCTCAAGAACTGTGCTTCTCAAACCCTTTCTCAGCCTCTCCTACAGGTCTTGTTACAACACACAGCGCTGGGTTCCACTCCGAGTGTCCGAGTGTCCCACTGAGTAGATTGGAGGTGGGGGGACTGAGACTTGGCATTTCTAACAGGTTCCAGGTGACACTGCTATTGCTGAACCGTGGCCATGCTCTCAAACCACCAGCATAGAGAAACCCTTGTGTCTGTGCCCGAAGAAGCATGAGCAAAGATGTTCACTGCAACATCGTTTAATAGCAAACAAGTGTAAAAATCTGACTATCAAAAGAAGAGATAAGCTCTCTAGGGTGCAGTCCCATATATGACCCATGAAACGTGACTGGGGAGGGTTTGCAGCCGACCTCATGGATACTCTCAAAGACAAGGGTGGCAGCGAAAACGCAGATTGCACAATGAATCACAGAGGAAGAAGCCATTTGTGTAGAGTTCGAAACCCTGCAAAACAATATTCTTGGACATGTGTGATACTTAAATTTGTATCAAGAGTGAAAGACATAAGGGGTTAATAAACACTGGATTCAGGATGTGGGTGAGAAAAGGGATTCAGGAAGAAGGCCAGGGATTCCTGTTGAATCTGTAATAGTTCATTTCTTCAAATCTGAAGCAAATATTAGGATGGCAAGATTTGCAACAAGTGGCTGGCAGGTACACAAATGTTCATTGTGTTTTTTATTCTTGACTGTAGTTTCAAAATACTTTACAATAAAAATATATTTAGAAGTGTTTAGCCTCTATCGTGTCTGTGGATTGGGGAGGGATAGGTAAGGAAAGAGGACTATCTTCTACTCCTACCCCTCCCAGCTTCCTTCGCCAAGCGCTGGCCCATCCTCAAGCTGAGATCTTGGGCAGGAGGTGACAGAAGTTCTGAGAGCAGCGGAGACCCGCAGCTGCGAGCCCTATGTTACTTATGCCCCCAGGTCCTTTCTCTCCTCAGTAAGGGACCTTATGTTTAGCCAAAGTCATGTCTTCCAAGAATGAAGACTACATTTCCCAGGCTCCTTTGCAGAGGTATATGGTGCAGTGTCTAAGTTGTGACCAATGGGCTTTAAGTGGGAGTGTCCTGTCCACACTCCAGGAATGACCTTTAAAGAAGGGTGGCTCTTTTCTCCTCCCCTTCTTCCTCTGCTGGTGGGATTGTGGACTTGGAAGCCAGAGCCAGGGCAGATGCCGGGGACAGAGGGACCTGGCAGAGAGGCCATGGCGTGGCCATGCTAACCCAGGGCGGTCTACTTCAGATTCTTGTATAGGAGAGAGGAGAAAGTGTCACCCCTCTTGTTTAGGCCATTGGACCTTTCTATCAGATCCTGAGGACTGCATGAGAATGACTGACGCTGTGGGGTCTTCAGCCTCACGGGTGGGCACAGGGTGATGTCAGTGGAGAACAGGGTACCTCTCCTCAGTGCCTCGGTGCTATGTCATCTCACTGGACCTGAGATGCGGCCCCACAACAAAGGGCAAAGGGACCCTCATTTGGCTTGAGGTGAACTCTGCCTCCCTGCAGAACAGGAGTTCCAAGTAGAAATTATGTTCAGTTAAGAAAAACAGAATAGCATTCGCTGCACACTGAGTGCATGGACAGAGACTCACACCCGACTCAGGTGTCTCTGCCCACTTTCCAGCTGAGGAGACCACGGGGCCCCAGGGTCCTGCAGCATCAGTGGAGGCAGGGACCTGGGCAGTCAGCCCCCTACTGCCCTCGTGGAGCATTTGTTCAAGGCTCCTCCGTGTCAGGCAGAGCCTGGGGCAGCAGGGATGGCCCGCGAATGGCCCCCACTGTCAGAGGACCTCACAGCTACTGCGAGGGCTGAAGCCCACAGGAGGGACTGAACGTAATGCAGACAGACAAAGTAAACTCTTTCTAACTGGTCTCTGGGAAGAACTTAGGAATCCTTCAGCCTGACCCCTGCAGGTGCACCGGGGATTCCGAGGCCACAAGGGGTGGAGACTTCCCCAAGCTCAGACAGCCAAACAGCAATTAGAGCTACAGCATTTTTCTAGAGTGACATTTCCACATGCAGAAGACAGAACCTGATAAGGACACCCCCCGTGACCTTGGATGGTGTGTGTGTGTGTGTGTGTACACATGGGTGTGCAGGCAGGGGACAGATCTCAACGCTTCTTTCAGGTTTTTGAAGAGTTAGCTCTGCGTCCTGCCGTGTCCTTGGTCCTGGTGGTGGGCTAGGGCGCCCTCTAGTGGCTCTGTACTGTAATGGCATGCCTGACTTAGAACTCTGATGGCCTCTGGCTTTTTCATCACATCTCTGCAACTTGTTGGACAGGGCAATGCTATTTCTCCTCCCCAAGGTCACGGGTGTAGAGACTTGAACGATAATTCTATGAATCATAAGTGATGACAACTAGTGTTTGTAAAATGCTGCTTTAGAAAGATCCAAATGTGATAGTTCTTAAACTTGACTGAGCCTAAGAATTCTCAGGGAGGCTTATAAAATGTCTGGTTCAGGCCCAGGAATGTGCATTATAATAAGTCCAAATTAATGTAATAGGCATTTTGGATGGGTCTCCCCTGCTCACGAACTCCTTTCCCTGACAACCAGATGTGGAAACCATGCTTGAATTGCATGACGCTCTCCCTTGGTCAATGCCAGACAGACTGAAGTAGGGACTGACTGCTCTTTCTGGCTGAACGAATTAGACCATCTTTCTTGGGAATTTTGACTCTGGGCCAACAGACAATGGTCTGTGTTGGGCTCTTGATCTAAGGACACTTGCAGGAAGGCAGGCTAGTGCCCATGTATGAGAAGCTTTTGTGGCCACTAGCATCTGTCGTCCCTCTCTGTGCTAATA